ACTAGCAAACCAGAAAGCTTATGTAACTCTTGCCATTAATACACATTCACGTTCCACTCAATGCTACCTGCTCCAAAGCTTAGGCAGCATTAGTGTGCTGGGTTTGGCTGGAACAGTGTTAATTTTCTTCACAGTACAGTAGCTAGCATGGGGCTACAGTTTGGTACAAGTCCAAAACATAATCCTGTACCAGCTACTACCAAGAAAGTTAACTCTATCCCTAAACCAGCACAATTAGCTAGAACAGCACAGATAGTTAAAATCAAAGTTTTTCTCTCACCGGCCCTGTGTGCAATAAACGTTTAAAACAGCTTCTGCAAACTACGTATCTATAGCTTTTTTATGTTGATAGTTACAGCTGCATGAATTCCCATCTGTTTGCATTTAAAGCAGAAAATTTGCACAACTACATCACTGTAAGCACTTCACCACTTATTTGGATAATCTTGAAATAGTCTGGCTGTTTAAAACAAAACAAAAAAAAATCCTGTAAATTTATATACTGATACACTGCTTGGGACTACACAAAGCTTATTGTGTGTACAATCTTCTGTGTATTCTACAGTTTCCTTATCTTAGGGAAGCTACTGTGACAGCAGATGGCCTTAACAAAAAAATAACACCATATATTCCTTTTTTAATAATAGGAAGGAGAAACATGAGCCTACTGCCACCAACAATCATGTATTTCCAGATCCAAAATGACATACAAAGGAAGTCTGCAAGAAACTTTGCCATTACAGCATGTAGAAACAACCCCAGTAGTCTCCTCTCAGCCAGCAATGAACATTACAGAATCCTCAACAAATGTTGAAATACACTACTGAAACTGAAACATGCATTTTCAAGAGATGACATATAAAGTTGGCAAAGTCATCGACTAACTAATGCCAAGTGTCTTTTTGCAATCAAGCATGGTCCAAGCTTGGTTTCCCATCATCTGCTAGCACTTACTCCAGACTGAACCCACATATGTACTACAATGAATGGAATCCAATTCGCTGGGCTACCAACTTCACAGCAAAAGGAACAGAACATGGAAGCTTAATTATGGCTCACAGTTAAGGAGTTCATTCTGCTAACCAAAATTGGTAGTTCTTCGTGTTATAAAGCTTTATCTTCCTGAAAAGTATGGCTTCATCACAACATGTTACAGGACAAATGTTGATATTAATAATTTTTAGTTTTCTGATCTACCAGGATTGCAAGAAAAAGCAGCTTTGAGTTGACACTTCAGAACAAAGTTTTCTGTGGCAACAATATTATTTGAAGAATGTTGTTAACTTTTCCTTTCAATTAAAACTTTACAGCTTTGTTTACCAGTGTTTAGGTATGTATGCAGTTTACTTTATTCGTTCTCTATTTTGCAATTAAAATTGGTATATCTCTGAAATTCTCAATGCATTAAAATTTAATTTCCAGTAACTTTTATATTCATGGTATGATCAATCCAGTATTTTCCTCATTTAAAAAAACAAACACTAAACCTGGTACATCAAGGGAAAAGATGCACTTAAGTAATTTCCATTTATTATCTCTGCTATATTCTGACACAAGTTAGCACGCCAGCATGAAATCATACAGATTTTTTTGTACGCTGGAAAAAAAAGAGATGTGATCCTGTGATACCTACAACACTGCAGAGTCAATAGATAGATATGGAACTTTCTGAAACCTTCCCTCTTGTTGTATTATTTCTAACAATTTTATAACACTGCAGAATCAATAGATAGATATGGAACCTTCTGAAACCTTCGTTCTTGTTGTATTATTTCTAACAATTTTAAAGGCATGTTTTCATTTTAAACCTAATTTCTGGACTAGCTCACAGCATGTACCTAAATGCATTCAGATAATGAGATATGTAATAGAATCAGACTTTAAGAAATGCCTTTAGATGAAAAAATAAAGCCTTGTTATCTAATTTGTCTGGCCTCCTAGTTCAGTACATGGGAACTGCTGTCATGTATAATAAGCATTTGTTTCCCTTAACACAGGCCCTATCACACATTTCCATACTGAAACATCACCTATAAGTAGAAAACAATTAAATAACTAAGTGTATGGTGAAATATAAATTCTGTTCATGACAATAGTTGTTTTTAAGTAAATGCATGATTTTCAGTCCTATAAAAATCAGTACATTTCCATCAGCATATATACAGATACATATATTGAAACAAAAGAACAAAAGCAACCCCCACTAAGAGGGAAAGAAAAATAAAAGAAGTTTCTATAGAGGTCTGGCTTTTCCCCTTTACAAATCATCAGCTTCCTCTAGCAAAATCTTATGCTTTCTACTCTCTGTCTCTTATATATATATGCCACTTAGGATTGTAGTTTTCAGGAACTCTCAGAAATAATAAACATCAGTTCCCAGGTGCACACATGGTGATCTCCCTGTAAAGCCCACAGCACAGTTATGCTGAAATGTCTTTAAAATACAGGTGTCAAGACAGAAGAATCATTCATTGGAGAAGAGGAATCAATGGAGAATTATTCATTGGAGGAGGCTCAGGGGAGATCTTATCACTCTCTACAACTACCTGAAGGGAGGTTGGAGTCAGGTGGGGGTTGGTCGCTTCTCCCAGGCAACCAGCAGCAGGACAGGAGGGCACAGACTCAAGCTCTGCCAGGGGAGGTTTAGGTTGGATATTAGGAAGAGATTTTTTACAGAGAGAGCAATCAGACATTGGAATGTGCTGCCCAGGGAGGTGGTGGATTCACCGTCCCTGGAGGTTTTCAAGACGAGACTGGATGTGGCACTTAGTGCCACGGTCTAGTAACCACGGTAGGGTGGTTGGACACAAACTTTGAGGTCTCTTCCAACCTAGCTGAAATACAGATCACATTTCAAGGCAACTCCAAATCATACCAATGGAAGCATTGGCGAAGGTCATCAGGAACCTCCTCCACAGTGATACGAAAGTAAGGGGAGCAAGAAAAAAAAAAATCCAACCAGTTTTAGGGAAGATACGAAAGTAAGAGGAGCAAGAAAAAAAAAATCCAACCAGTTTTAGGGAAAACTTCATTCTATAACGTTTCCCTGTCAAGAACCCAAAAAGGAGCAGCACTGCGTCAGAATTCCAGGCAGGGAGATAACCAGTGCTCGTGCGCGCCCTGCTGGCTCTGTCCCCAAACACAGCTCACAGCAGTGCCCGCAGGAACTGGTCTTTCAGTAGCCCTAGCAACACATACAGGGCTCAATCTGTGCCCAGCATCAAACTCTGCCTTGGTACACAGACTAGACAGTGCATTTAATCACAATCAGAGTGACAAAGCACTTGTGAGACATGAAAAAAAAACCAGAAGTTCAGAGTAGTTTTGATCTAAACAAAAGTAAGTTTCTAAAACAAACATTCTAAACAAAGTGTTGGGTAAAAGGTACATAAAAGATGATGAAATGACATATACCAAAACGAAGGAAAATAGCAAAGAAAGCTAACTCTGAATATATACTTAAATCAAAACCAGGGACAGTAATCTGCTCACAAACCCCACAGCATGTGTCTGAGGTGTTTGGGAAGATCTGAATGAACAGATAGACCAAACTCCTTCACAGCACCCTGCTGTCTCTTCCCAAACCCCTCGTGCTCTTGATGCCACCAGTAGCTGCCAAAAGCCTGGCCAGCAGTGTACCTCATGCTCTTGATGCCACCAATAGCTGCCAAAAGCCTGGCCAGCAGTGTCCCAGACCCCACCACAGCAGTGAGCCAGTTTCTGGCACTCTGGCTCAGAGAATCCCATCAGCCTCTGCTCTCTACCTGGGGAATTTCTTGGCATCAAAGTCTTCAAAAAGGTTAGAGAAAGATGATGGTTTCTGCAATAATAGAGGTAAAGGGTGGCTATGTGTAACAATGCCAGCTTTTCAGAGAGAACCTTAAGGACTACTATTAGTTTGGACATATTAATTGGTTTCAGATTTTGAGGTTAAAAAAACAAAAATTCCTGAACACAAAAAAGAAAACACCACCTTTTTGAGGTTAAAAAAACAATCCTGAACACAAAAAAGAAAACACCACCTCCACACCACTAAAAAACAAATCCAGATCACCATTAAGAACAAAACTGAATCCTGAGAAACTCTAAACTTATCAATCTTTCCTTCAATATACAACAGAAGAAAAACCAAACTTTGACCACAAGCCTGTGTAAAATACTTCATGTACTTCAGGCTGGAGAAAACAGGTAATTTGCACATATAGCTAGATTCTCTCTGCTCAGATTATATTCTAGTCTAACCATAGGATGCCTTTCAGACAAGTTTACATATTGTAAACTGCTTGGGATTTTTTTGGCAAGTCAAATGTGAACATGTAGATTTTAAATACTGTCTTCCTTCACAAACTGTATTTTCCCATTAAGGGAGGTGCTGGAAACAAAGAATGTGAATTGCCATGTTATAAAGGGTTACCTGTCTCAAAACTATGTGCTTGATGCTCTCTATAAGAAAATACTTCAAGTATGACACATAAACCCCACATATTATTTTATTCAAATAAACCAGATTCATTGACTACTCTTCCTTGATTTTAAGGAACTAAAAATATGCAATAAGATCAAATTTAATTCAGTTTTTAAGTGATGGGCATAGTGATACTGAATATTCATTCATCCTTGCTGTATGCAGGAGTCATTCTTATTTTGCTGAATGCACAAACGCTTTTTTTTTTTGTAAGCCTGTTCACGTCAAAATACATTCATGTTTCTCCCGCTACACTCTGGCCAAAGAGTCTCTCTAACACCACTGAAAAGGTTATTTGATGACCCTCTTACTGTGTCCAGCTTCAGATAAAGAAATGCTAGTCCTATGCAGACAGGCACAATGAATCAGAGCAAACTGTTAGCAGACACCAGACAAAAAAAACAACCCCAAAAAAGCACAACTGTTGGCACTAAGGTAATATTGAGAAACAAGCAGCAACATCCCCAATCAAAGTTTAAAAACATCACCACCTGGTTAAGAGGACCTGTTCCCTTTCCTGTTTCAATGAAAGCTGTTATTCCTTACGCACAACACACGATGCCACATGATGGCAGCAAACACCAAGCGTTCGCCTTACCTGCACAGGCTGTTCACCTCCTATCCTAAAATCTTCGAGCTGCGGCACATGCCATGCAGCCACACCGTAGGGCTCCTCAGCAGCCCTGCAGTCCAGGGGGTTTGCTCGCAACTGCTCCTTAAGCCACATCTGAGTCCTCAGCGCTGGCTGTATGGGAGCTGCGCTCACAGCCTGCGGTCCCAGCGTGGCGTATCTCTGTCCCAAAGCCTCACGACTCGCTGCCGTAGGTTTGCTCTCAGGTAAGGCACTGTAGGTCAAGTCTAAGGCATGCCTCCTACTCGGGGAATCCGAAACAAAATCGTCTTTGCTGCACGTCTCAAATTTGTATTTGCAGTCCAGTAGAGAAGATCGTTTTTTCCCCATTTCTTTGTCCTCAATTTTCAGCAACTCCATGCTGTCATGCAAACAGCTTGGCCCATTTGTCCTTAATTGTGGTGACACAACTTTGTCCGTATTAGCCCTGTATTCCACTGCGAGACTACTCCCATCTTGGCTGCAGGTATTTGGTGAGCTGAGTTTAGACAAGGAGGACCATTTTCTCACAGGTCTTGTATCCTTCATGTCAAGAGAATTGTCCAGGACACCCAGATTTCTGCCTCCTCCTGACCGTACAAAGTTTGTACTCCATTTTGAGCCATCAGACTTGAAAGCTTCCCTGTGTTTGGAAAGTGAAGAGCTGGCATTAGACGGCATCACATGGGCAGTGGGAATAGAAACCAGCGATCGGCAGGGCTTAAATGAGGATGTACCACTTGAAGTTGAATGATCTGTGAAGAGAGATTTATCATGTAAATAAGTACAACACAGAACTCATTAACACCAGTGCATAGAGGACAAACATCGAATTCAAGGTGAGAAGCAAAAATAGAAGAGATTTCTTGACAAAATAGGGTCTTCTAAACTGTTCAAGATTATGAGAATGGAAACCAGTTAAAGTGGGAGATTTTCAAATATGTTTTGCTCAGTTAACATCATTACAAAAAAAAAAAAAGTGTACTAAGCAGCAGTAAGAGCAGCTCCAGATAGAATTCTCAAGCTGTGAGCCAAAGGAAGATTTGTTCATTCTTTAAGATGGCAAGCTGGATTTCTCCCCCACCACCCCACATAATATTAAGTAGCTTCTATACCATAAATGGTAGAGATATCACAATTCAGGAGCCCCAAGACTGGTTCCTCTTCCAACGCTCCTCTTCTCATTTTTTAAAGGCCAAACAATTCACTAAATGCACTTTGTAAAATGGCAGTGCTGAAGACAAACCAAATTAATAATGGTCACTCGGACAGAGCTATTCATCACTTTTGGATCTCACCAATTTCAAAGTGTGCTTCCTGTGCTGGGTTTGGCTGGGATAGAGTTAATTTCCTTCATAGTAGCTGGTATGGGGCTAGGTTTTGGATTTGTGCCAGAGTGTTGATAATTTAGGGATTATTTAGTTACTGCTGAGCAGAGTTTACACACAGTCAAGGCCTTTCCTGCTTCTAACCCCACCCCACCAGTGAGGAGTCTGGGGGTGCACAAGGAGCTGGGAAGGGACACAGCCAGGAGAGCTGACCCCAACTGACCAAAATGACATTCCACACCACATAGCATCATGCTTAGCAAGAAAACTAGGGGGAAAGTCAATTTGGGGGTCTGCAGCTCAGGCAACAGTTGGTCGGTGGTAAACAAGAGTTTTCATCTGCATCACTTGCCTTGTTTGGGTTTTATTTTCTCTCTTTGTTGTTTTCCTTACAATTTTTTCATCTTTTCAATTATTAAACTGTTTTTATCTCAACCAATGAGTTTTCTCACTCTCTTTTATGCACTTCAAATTCTCTCCCCCATCTCACTGGGAGTGGGGGGAGGAGTGTGTCTGTGTGTTTACAGATCCAAATACAACACCACACAAACTGTGTGTATCCTAATTTATAAAATATTTCCCAAGCCAAATCATCAAGAACAGAGAAATCAGCAGGGTGATATTCAGAAGGGGACAGTGGAGCAAAGATGAGAGAGGTAATGCAGAGGTTACTGGGGACTGGCTGAGAGCTCTCACCCACCCAGAAACATGTGCTGTGGACAACCAGAAGTAAACACCTAATCCTCTCATTAGAGGATCAGCTCCCAACAAGTCACATGGCTGCACCTTAGCAAGCTCATATAGCTGGTTAGGCTCATGGCAGACAGAAAGAAATTGCTCTAATTAGAAGTTTCTTTTGACATCCTATTTGCCAAATGCAAGACAGATCCATTCTCTCTAGGTTAGGATGAGAAATAAGAAAAATGCATTTTTTGAGATTTGTCAAGTGGTATAAGAATTCACAGTGTGACAATTTTTTAAAAAATGCTCTACAACTGGCACACCCAGTTCAATGGCTACTCTAGGGCTACACTAGGCTAATGTGATCTGGTGAAAGCCAGAATGCATTATTAATTAAGCACACTTTGGAAGCATATATTTCACTCAATATACCATGCCACAGATTTGAAAAAGATGACAACTTCCAATGGTGCAACGACTTTCAAAATGGTAGCACTTCTTTTTCTATGTATCCAAATAAAGATATCCTTGCCCACAACTTGGATACTCCTCCCCTATTTGGGACCAGACTCACTCCTTGCATGTGCAGCACAACACAAAATAATACAGTCCTACAGTCACACCCTTCATGAGAAAAATGCATTACTGCTCAAAAAACAATAAGCAGCTCTTCGATTGATATGTTTATTACATAGTTAATGCCAGGTCTCCCAAGAAGGCAGAAAACCTTGCTGAAGCCTTCCTTGCCTCCTAATGTGTTGCTGCCCCACCATTTCAAAGCACAAGCTCATGCCATACTGTCTCTTGCCTCTACCCAGTCACCTGCTTTCACAGTAGTTACAGAACATTGCTATCTTTTAGACTTAACAAAAGTGTCAGAGCTGGTTGAAGTGGACCAACAGTTTAAGAGCTATTCATAGGGTGTTGATGATGGCCAAAGGACACACAAAGGAGATGCCCTGTGCAGGGCCAGGAGTTAGACTTCCATGATCCATGTGGGTCCCTTCCAACTCAGGATATTCTATGATTCTATGATTCTGTGATCAAGTTAAATGCAGATTAGAACACTTACCTGATTAATCATGCTGCTAATATGTTACCTGAAAGATGAAAGACCTTCCTTTCTCCCTGCACTTCTGCCTTAAAAATTCTATACTGCAGAGAGAAACATTTTTATTAGCTCATCTCTGTCTTGATATTGCTCAAGAGGTGGGACGTGTTAAAGAAGAAGACAGAAGGCCACACAATCCATTTCAAATAGAAGGAATCACAGTCTTCTGACCAAACACATTTGTGCTCACAGATCTTGCAACATTGGAGACTGTGAAATTGCAACACTACTAGTTCCCAAAACTGTGATATGCCCACCACATGCAAGCAATTTGCATGCGCCAGGTACAGTATCAGCTTTTCTCAGCTCTGCCTTCCTTGTCCTCTCCCATAGCACATTAGACACTTGCATAAAGAGCCACTACAAACTGGGTACATCTTGCTATGCTGTGCTAGGCTTCCAGCCCTGCTCTGTAACAGAAATAAAGGTACACCATTTATGCACATTATTGTAACAGAAATAAAGGTACACCTGAGGATGTCTAAGCAGTGACAAGAAGGCAAAAGAGGTGTATGACCTGATGGAGCTGGAAAGCAGGGTTAGAGTCTTACTTTCGAGGAACATGCAGCAGAAGAGCAGGGAAAGACTCCTGCTCTCCTCTTACTCTCTCTGGCAAAGTAGGGACGGAAACGCACAATAGAAAGAAACACATCTCTTCTTGTACAGGTGCTCCTTAGCTAGAGGCTTCTGCTTTTGTCACACTCAAGAAAACTAAACTTTGTATTGTGCCTTACCCAGAAGCTGAATCTGACACAGCACAATGTCAGTCCTGCAAAGGCAGCAGCCCCAGGCTTTCTTATATCCAAAGAAAATTAGAGTGTATCAGGATGCCAAAGGAACCAACTGTTGGGACCTATATTTTAGGCTACACAGACTTCTATGGGCAGAAATGTCACATCTCCAAAAGAAAGGTAAAGGAAGAAACCCTATATACTTGTATCTGTAAAAGTTAAAAAATAATTATTTTAAAAAACAAAGTAGCATCTAATATAGCATTTTCAGTCTAAAATACTAATTTAATGTTAGCTATACACAGTCCTCAAAACAGAATTAAACCCAGTGATAATTAGAAGTATATGATCCCCTTCATTTATTAGGCTACAGAGTTATTAATGTGGCAGATTTCAGAGTATGTGGTAGATTTTTATTTTTCCTTGTTCTACTCTAAATTTAATTAAACTGAAAATTAATTAGTTTTAAATTAGAATTAAACTTATTTTCCTCTCTTCTGATTCTAAACTCTTCAAGCAGATTTAAACTTGGTATGTCATTTATATCCAACTACAGCTAATAGATGTCTCCTACAATTTGTCCCAAAGTGAAACACAGCAATTTTGGCTTCAAGTTGTCCTAATTAGTCTTCCCATTAACACTCACTGAAACATATGAGAAAATTCACACTTCTTCCTAGAGCATATTGCTTCAGTCTGCCTTGACTGCAAGCTCAGCTGGAAAGAGCCAGTCTGCATTCTGCAACACCTCACAGCACAAAAAGCATGGAATTTGTAGAGTTCCCTGAAAATAGGAGAGGATACAGAAAGCGTCATGGAATGAAAGACATTACTTCTTCTGTAGCCACAGGAATAAGCTCCATCTGGCCAAATCCTGCCAAAGACTGCTTTATCCTAGCAGCAGGTTTTTCCCTTCCATACTGTCAGGGGTAAGCAAATGCCTAGTTCAGAACTGAAGGCACTCTCTCCTCAGCATTACTGGGTTTTTGCTTCACTGAGCCGGTATCTATTTGAAGATTACAAAGACTCTTAAATATGGCTTGTGGGTCTCCAGAGTCTTTCAGTACTTAAGATTGCTCTCATTAATGAAAACAGAAAGAGATAGGAGAAAACAAAAAAGTAACTAGATGCTACTGTTTTTCCTTTCAACAGCATTAAGACTACATGACAAATTTTGCTTTTCAATTATCCAAATAACTTTTTTGGGGCCCACCACAAAACTCCCTAGAGCACTTTTCTAACAGGCATGACATTTTAATACCTGATCCAATACTTCTCAAACCACATAAATAAAAGGATTGGAAAAAAATGCTATTTTAAAAACATGCTACAAGATTTCTACCACATAATAGCAGCAGATGGAATAAAAAAATGAAGAGCATTTCATATGGCTTTCTTACCATCTTGTGTTACACTTCTGAACTATTTCATTACTGCTTATCTGGCATAGAAAATCATGTAACAAAATCAGTTTTGGTCTTCATAAAAAAAGCAGAGGCAGAATGCACAGCAGGCACTTTCTTCTTCTGGAGAGGGAAAAGTAAGAAGCCCTTCAATATAAAATTGATGAACACCACCTACTCATTTACATTTCCCTGTGCTATGCTTTCTAAATCAGTGTAAGAAAAGCCTCTGAAGCCATTTCTCAGGCCAGACACATAACCTTCACTGAGCTAGTTAAAATCCTTCTCTGTTGCCCAAACATAGCCAAAACACACAAGACAGAAAAGGTTCACTGTAACCCTGAACAACTTCTTTAGCTACAGAATGAAACTAGTGCTATGACAACTCCCATGTACAAGATACACTTCTGTATGTGACAAATTCTTCACTGCACCCAATAAGATTACCAAACAGCAGCAATGTAATTAGCTAATACAGTTACCCAATACTAATCAAAACCA